TTAAAAGTGTACTGCGGAATTCATAGGACCTCCCTGTTCCCATGCCAGGTGAAGTACAAAAGGAGGGAGCAAACCACCTCCAACTGGGGAAAAAAGATCGGGGCCTTGCTCTGCCAGCTGAAACCATTAAAACGTAGGACAGCGCTGGAGGCAGGGCCAGGCCCTCTTCCTGGGAAAGGAACAAGAGCGGAAAAAATTTCCACCCTTGAGTTTAACAGAATCAGAGCTCTTCAGAATCAAAGGGGTCGGGCTCTGCACTCAACCAACGCTCAAAAGCCCTTTAACATTAGTGGAAGTGGTAGCAATAGTAGGAGCAAAAGCTTCCATTTATTGACAGTCACGTGCCTGAAAGAACTAAACACTGCAAGGCAGGTAGTGCCAATCCCATTATACAGATGAAAATAAAGACAGGGCTCAGAGTTCAAGAGCTCTGTTCCAGGCCACAGTGCCAGTGAGCGACACAGTCCATATTCAAACCCACGTCCATCTGCTTTCAGAGCTCGTGTTAGTTCCACCATGCCATGGCAATGTGGCCAGGGCATCGTGTGTTCCAGGCCCCCCATTCTGTAGGGCAGAAGGCTGAGGCCAGAGAGCGGTCAGGTGATGGGTCCAAGGTCCCACAGTGAGTCAGAACAAGGGACCTCTCTCCTTCTTCATAAGGAACATGGATGGTTAGGGGATAATGGAGGAGCAAACATACTGGCAAATCTCAGATCAATGCAAATGTCGTTCTTGCTAGCTGTCATCAAGTCGGCCCCTGACTCATGACAACCCTATGCACAATGAGATCAGACCATTGTGATCCATAAGATTTTCACTGGCTGATTTTTGGAAGTAGATCACCAGACCTTTCTTCCCTGCTTAGTCTGTCAGCTCTGCTGAAACCTGTTCAGCACCACAGCAACATGCAAACATGCAAACCTCCAATGACAATGGAAATTCTAATGAGGGGCGGGGCAGCCCTGGCTTTACTAAAGTAGAGTGCTGGTGCAGACTCGGGTCGGCACTAACCAATCCGTCACTGTGCTCACAGCTAAACCCTCCAGGGTCTTCTGGAGCCGCCAAAAACAATGGAAAAGGTTTCCCTTGATACACTTAGTTGGCCTATTGAAAGATAAAATGATCAAACTGACCATTTGCTAGCTGTCAGCTAATCAGTTTACCCAAAAACATATGGAAAAAACACCAAAGTATGCATGTAAAAATTGTTGAATTGGTAAATGTTTTGTTATATGTATTTTTACCACCAAGAAAAGCACACAGAAAAAGATTCCCCAGTCTGCATGCAGCTTTTTCTCTGTCTCCCTTCTCTCTTTTCAATCCCTTTTTTTTTTTTTTTTTTTGCCTTTGTTCTTTACTCCATTTACTGACTGACTTTCTCAAAAAAAAAAAAAATCAAAAACCAAACCTGTTCCCATTAAGTTGATGTCAACTCATAGCGACCCTACAGGACAGAGTAGAAATGCCCCAAAGGGTTTCCAATGAGCAGCTGGTGGATTTGAACTGCCGAACTTTAGGTTAGCAGCCATAGCTCTTAACCAGTGTGCCATCAGGGCCTCACACTTGATAAAAGAACGTGTGCAAAAGAACTAGCTAATGTCTCTAAGCTACACTTCGATAGGGGCCATGTGATTTCACTAAAGGATCTTCAAGACTGTACTAAAGTCCTTCCAAGTAGGACTCATTGAGTTGGCTCTAAAAAAAAGTCTGATCACTCCTTGGGGTTTTCTTCTTCTACCTATAGGCATGCATAATGGGATGGAGAGTAATCGAACACCACCTGCCAGTCAGTTTGTTGTACTGTGATGGCTTGTGTGTTGCTGTGATGCGGAAGCTATGCCAGTAGGATTTCAAATACCAGCAAGGTTACCCATGGTGAACAAGTTTCAGCAGAGCTTCCAGACTAAGACAGACTAGGAAGAAAAGGCCTGACAATCTATTTCTGAAAATTAGCCAGTGAAAACCCCATGGAATGCAACAGAACATTGTCTGATATGGTGCTGGGAGATGAGCCTCCTAGGCTGAAAAGCCCTCAAAATACACAGCAGCCACAACAATGGACTCAAGCATACTAATGAAGATGGTACAGGGCCAGGCAACATTTCCCTCTGTTGTACATGGGGTCACCATGAGTTGGGGCTGACTCGACTGCAGCTAACAACAACACTAATGGGTCATCTATAGCAATGAACATATCTATTACTCCTCTGCTTCCTATTTCACACTGGCTGTGGCTGTTCGAGACCTCCCTCCATGTCTGGTCCCAATATCTGTTTCCAGCCTCATCTTCCTTGCTATCTCGCCCACCTTCTGCTCCAGCCTTGGCCATTCCTCTCTCCAAAGTGTGTCTTCCACTCTTCTGCCTTGGTCCCTTACTCAGGCCAGGATATCTTTCCTCTACCTGAAAGGACCTTTTAACTTCCTAGTTTCCTTCACAGCAAAGCTCAGCTCTCTCTGGGGCTCCCTCTAGTATTTTATTTTTACCTCTCTTTTACTCTCAATCATAACATAAAAATCTCCTGAGGACAGTAACCATGCCTTATTGATTTGATTCACTCAATATTTTTTATATGCCTGTTCTGTGCTAGGATCTTCAGGGAATACAAAGATAAAGAGAACTAGTTCCTACCCTCAGAGAGATCGAGCTGGGGAGATAGATACGTACACAAAAATCTACAATAAAAGTTATGTTTTTGCTTTGTTTCTTGATTACACCTACCAACTCCCTCATTTGTAAGAAAATATTCATTCAAAAAACTAGTTAAATGTCTTTAAGTCATTCTTTGACAGGAACCAGATGATTTCACTAAAGGAGGAGAAGAAGGGCTCCAAAAGCTTAGGCTCCTAAAACAGTGTGGTAGGTCCTCAAAGAGTTACTATATAGAGTTACCACATGACCCAGCAATTCTGCTCCTAGAGATACACTCAAGAGAACTGTCCACACAAAAACTTGTATATGACTGTTCATAAACAATTCACGACAGTCAAAAGGTGGAAACAATCCAAATGTCTGTCAACTGATAAATGGATAAACAAACATGGTATATCCACATAGTGGCATATTACTTGACCATAAAAAGGGATGAAGTTTTGATACATATATGCTAAGTGAAAGAAGTCATACACAAAGTCTATATACTGTATGATTCCATTTATGTAGAATGTTCAGAGTAGACAAATCCATATAGACAGAAAGTAGATTAGTGGCTGCCCACGACTCGGGGAGTTTTCAGGGAGATTGAGGAGTGACTGTAATGGGAACGGGTCTTTTTGGATGAAAATGTTCTGGAATTTGATGGTGGTGATGGTTTCACAATTTTGTGAATATACTAAAACTCACTAAATTGTATACTTTTAAAGGGTGAATTATATAGTATTAAATTACATCAGATTATAAAAAAAAAAAATTTTTTTTAATCACTTAGGCTTGGACTGAAGCCTGATACTGCCAAGCCCTGTGAGCCTCCCTCTCTCGATGCTCATGTGTGTGGAGAGGTCTGGACATGCTGATTTTTTAGAGCCCAATGAGTATTTTTTACCAGTCCCTGAACACCACAGGAGACACACGCATGAATAAAGATTCTCACATATGTCCTTGGGATGGTGATAACCATAGGAAGGTCTATCTAACAGTGCATCACCTCTTCCTATCATTCCTAGAATCACAGCATTTGGTGAATCATCTTGTCCAGGATTTTCAAATTATGCTCCTGATTGGGTTTTCCTGGGACTGAGGGGCTTCTGGGAATGTGGGACTCTCAGTGCTAAACCTGGTGAAGTCCCAGGCAAACTGGGATGACTGGTCACCCTAGCCTCTGAGAGGCAGTGAGCAATGGGAAGGGTCTCCAGTCCTCAGTCCCAACTCTGGCCCCCCACCTAACACCACAGCTTGGCTCTTTTACCTACTGGGCTTGGCCTACATGTCTATTCAAGGAAAAGTATTCTGTGGTTGAAAAGAGTTGGAAAAACATTGTCCAAGCCATCATTCTCCTAATGGTCCCAATCAGCCAAAGTCCATGAGTTTTCAGAGACTCATCGTGTTCAGGCAGTGAGTCAAATGGGTAAGACAGATCTTCAGTGTGGGAGGACACTGAGCAAAGCCACCCTGGTGAGCTCCTGGGCTGGTCAGGGCCAGTTTCTTGACTGCTTCCCTCATCACTGCTCTTCCCATCAGAAAGTGGGTCTCAAAGAAGAGAAGCTAGAACTAATTGGAAAGATCCTAAATTTGAACCACTTGTGAAACCAGAGGTTTTTATGGGTGGTTTCTAAGGTCCTGTCCAACTCTGACTTCCTATGATCCTAGACTCTGATGGCATTCCACCCATAAACCTTTGGCTCTCATCTCTATGTACTGGAAGCTTCTTACTGTGAATAAAGATGACTCTCTGCCAGAGGCGCCAGAAAGTATTAACTCTGCCCTCTCAAATCCTTCAACCAAATGAATGGGGAATTGGTAGATAAAGAGCCTAGCCTGTTTGCCCATGGGATGGGAGAACTTTAAGACTGTTCTACAGTGTCCCAGAGTTCTCCAACAGAGCTGAGCCCAGTGACCAACAGCAGTAGCCTGCTGATAATGCACCCTGTATCGCTTGCTTCAGCACCTCACTTCCTCACTCCTCTGGTGGTACGTCCAGTACTCACAACCCAAATAAGCTACTGGCACTAAACTGTTTGTCTCAGGCTCTATTTCTGGGAGGCGTCCAACCAAAGATAGATCCTGTGACATGTTTAATGAAAATAGCAATGTCAGGGAAAAAAAAAAGAAAGAAAGAAAAAGAAAACCCATAGCGATTCTATGGGAAACACCCAACAGAGAGCTCAGGACTTGGTTGAAAAACAGGGGTTGGGAGTCACCTTCAACAATGCAAAAATTTATAATTCCGTTAAATAGAATAAAAGGAACTGTATTAAAAGAAATCAATATGCATCCATTAGCAAAACATGAAGGTCTCCCTACGTGCTTTTAAAACCTTATGATTAAATGAATAAAAGCTACTTACTTATAAAAGGCCTGGTTCTCAACCCCACACTTCCAAAGATGTTTGCAGGCAGCTGGTGTTGAAGTATGGAAAGCTAACATGGCTTTTTTCTAATAAAAAATAACCAAACAAGGGTATGTTAAGTCCAGTTCATGCTTTCATGTTTTTTCTTCAGATATTTACCTATTTATATCCTGCCTCCTACCAAGTAGATTTAAAATAATATATGCATGTTAATATGTTCTAAAAGTGTTGTTAAAATGGCACTCCCCTCTCCCTCACCCTTTGCAGACATCATTAATCCATCCAGGCCTTCTTTCTGATAAAAAATCAGCCTCACAATCCTCAACACTGCAGGCATTGACTACCTATCTATCAGACTTGGATTAGCGTAAGAACATACCTGCCATCCTTGAATAACTAGTACTTGAGCTGAAAACTCAGACCCAGGAAATCCCCAAGCTTCCAGACTTAGCTCTGAGGTTCAAAATCTCAGTAATGGCCTCCTTCAAAAAGCCTTCTCTTAGGGATACTGTTGACATGTCGTGGGGTTGTTAACCATTGTCATAAAACAATATGTGTACTAACTGTTTAATGAGAAACTATTTGTTCTGTAAACCTTCATTTAAAGTATGATAAAATAAAAAATTTTTTAAAAAATCCTTCTCTTGATGAACCTTACCTATATCTAGCAACACCTTTATTTTAACACTCTCAGGATTCATAGACACTGTTTATAACACTCCAACCACCACTGGTTGATACCCAGCTTTCTAAGTATTCTTTACTTGTTTCATAAATCTGTATCTTGGTGAATTACAGAGGTGGGGGAAGGTTCCATCTTCTATTTCTCAAATCTGTCCCAGCCTATTTTTTACACAGAGGTGCAGAGATGTACAGTTGGCATTGCTCACTGACTTTATCTATTCATATTTATTTACACACATACACACAAACACACACACATCTACCACTTGTCTGTCAGTTTTTCATACTGTGGTGGCTTACATGTTGCTGTGATGCTGGAAGCTATGCCACTGGTATTTCAGTTATCAGCAGGGTCACCCATGGTGAACAGGTTTCAGCAAAGCATCTAAACTAAGACAGACTAGGAAGAAAGGCCTGGTGATCTACTTCCTAAAATTAGTCAATGAAAACCTTATGGATCACAGAACATGTCTGACGTGCCTGCTTTGGACATGACAGCGGGAAGGATCAATCACTAGAGGTGGACATCATATCTGGTGAAGTAAAGGGCCAGCAAGGGCAAGGGAGACCCTCAGTGAGAAGGATTAGCGCAACAGCCACAACAATTGACTCGAACATGCCAGTGATTGTGAGGATGACATAGGACTGGGTAGCATTTCATTCTGTTGTACGCAGATTACCATGAATTGGAGTCAACTTGATGGCAGCTATCTATACATATGTTTTATAATATTTATAAATATATATATTTATGTATATATAATATATATATAAATGCTGAAAGTATTAATTTATATACTTCTAAAATGTTTTCAGCATTTAGCCTCTATTATCACCATAAAATTCAGAGTCACAGCCTTTTAGGGCTACAATTGTAAAGGCATATTTTATTTTTGAATCTCTTATACACATACACTTGCACACACAACAACAGGTAGTTAGAAAAGCAGTATCTGACCTCCTTTTGGGTGCCAATCACATAAAATGTCTTCCCTTCAAACTTCAATTTGGAGACATCTGGCCTAAGAAAAGAAAATCTCTTTGGGTGAGAAGGGAAAAAAAAAAGGCAGTTAACCAAGGTACCTGGCTTCCCACAGGAACCTGGCTGACTCACAAACGCCAAGCAGACTGCAATGAAACAAGATATTATCTTATCATTAGTGAAGGCATAATGAGTAGCGAAGAGCCCCCAAGTGAATTATACAGCAAAATCCTTCCCGAGAGAGGATCCATAGGCAGCTCAGAATGATTTATTCTGTGTCTTACACTTAGGCTGCACCTTTCTTCTGAGCAGCTCTAGAGATTTTCATCAGCATTAATGTCCAAAACAACATTAATTGGTCAGCCCACTTGTCGAGGCAGGAAGAATGTGGTTATTTTCAGATTCAGCTAATGAAATGATACAGATTCATAGTAATTGTCTCCCTCATTACATCACATCTGTGTTCAAGAAGCACACATACCGTGTTGCAAAATTTTCACTCCTGCTTCCCTTGTTTATTAAAAAAAAAAACTGTTTTATTATATATTGAGATGCTCAAAATTGTGAGACCAACTCAAAGAATGACAAATGGTAGTCAAAAAAGTGACTCCAGGTTTCATCCTAAGGGGCTGCTTGATTAAAACCTGCCTGAAATGGACACTGCAGGTGACTTCCTTGGGGGGAGATGTGTATAAAGAGACAAGAAAGGATTCTATTTTTATTCCTTTGGTCTAATTCCCAGGATAGTGATGTATGTCCCTGTGGTTTTCCTGGGGGAAAGAACAATGAGGTCACATTAAGGTGTTTTAACTTTGGCAGAGGGTTTGTGAGAATGACAAAGCTTAATGGAAGTTAAAACACACACACAAGATTAATGTGGGAAGATAAATTGTTTTACTGACATGTAAATGGTTGTCACAAACACACATGCCTAAGCAGAAGCTGAGAAGGATGGGGTCAGCATCAGCACCCCATCATCACCCACCAAAAGATGTAGATCAGGTGTAGAACCCCGAAACAAATGGCTCAGAGATCATTCATCTCAACTCTTCAATGAATCCAGGAAGAAACGGAGGCCCAAAGAGGCAAGAGACTTGCAATTAATCTGCACTTGAGACTTGCCAAGTTCTAACCTAACTATTCCAGGGCTTAGGCCATTCAGAAACCTAAAGATCTAGGTTTTGCAGCCCTAGGGTAGGATGGGTGAAGTCCCCCAATTATTCATGCTCTCCAAAGTCAGTAGGAATCCTTGGGGAACCTATTCTGAAATGGACTGAAGGTGACTTAACATTGGAGCTTCTTTGTAGATGCTGAAAATAAAGGCAAAGTGGATCTCACCACCTGTTAACATGTGTGTTATCATACAGCTTATAAATCACACCAGATTTACAAAGCACTCTCACACATATTCTTTCATTGGGTTCTCCCTCCTTCTACTTTCTCCCTGTAGGCAACCAGGTATTATTGACCCATTTTATGGATGGAGCCCTGGTGACACTGTGGTTAAGCACCCAGCTGCTAACCGAAAAGTCAGCTGTTAGAACCCACCAGACGCTCCTCAGGAGAAAAATGGCAGTCTGCTTCCATAAAGATTTACAGCCTTGGAAACCCTGTGGGGCCGTTCTGTTTTGTCCTATAGGGTCACTATGAGTCAGAATCGACTCCACAACAACTGGGTATTTTGTTTTTTGTTTTTTTAAATAGATGAGTAAACAGACTCAGAGAAGTTCAGTGATTTCATACAAAGGCAAATCGGAGTTTTGAGAATGCTGATTGTGGAAGAAGAGAACAACTGGGGCATAGAGGGGGTCAAAAGTATAAACTGAGTAAGAGGTAAGGACAGAAAGGACAGGGAAGCTATATAGAGCAATCGAGGATCTTAGAAAGGCAGGTCTGATCAGGGAAAGGGGCAGCAGACATAGGGAGTACAGTGGGCATTCGTTGACCAATGCTAATCTAGTAGAGAAGACCCGAAAGGAAGGCAGGTGCTAAGAATAAGGTGCTAAGAGGATAGTGCAGGGGAAGGGGGAACTCAATAAAGCGGTGCTGGAAGAAACTCTGAAGCTAATAGAACCATGGAACTGAGGTTCCCATAGGTGCAAGAGAGCTCTTCCAATACAGGACTGGTCCACTGCCAATCAAAGGAAGAACTTCAGACCCATGGCTTAGGCTGATGGAATGAGGCTACCACCCAGTGAGACACAGGAGGGACTATCCTGTCAGGGGTCATCAGAGGGGAGACTGAGGCAAGTTAGGTATGAAAAAGACTAAGCCTTTATATCTCAATGCATATATAGTGTTCCATTTTTCTCACTCTTTATCACAAGTGGATGTAACAGGCACTGCTGGTCACCTACCCTGATCCATCTCCCACTTCATTACTGACACAATCTATACTTCATTCTTCCTCAAGGTCATGGTTATGCAGATTACCTTCTTCTCAACCTGAGATGGACAGTTCTTTATTCAACCAAACTGTCACTGAGTTCCCATTCATCTCGGCAGGGATTGACTTAAGAAAGGGACACATGACCCAAACCTGGCCAATCAGACATACAGCAAGGCTGCAGGAAAAGTTGTCGTTATTTTAAAAGGAGACACTTGCTTTCCCCAGGCTCTGGGTGTCACTGCGTGGAGGTGTGATGGTCAAAGCTGCACAGCCATCTAATGACCACAGACCTGGGGACAAAGGCCAACACTCTGGGATGGCAGAGAAGAAGAGGGAGAGACCCAAGACCTTTATGGTGGATCAGGCAGTTAAGTTAACCAACCTCCTTCTGGAACTTCTGCTATGTGAGATCATCAGATCATTATTTGTAACCCAGTGTGAGCAGACTTTCCCTACTTTTAGCCTAAAGCATCTTCACGAACACACTGAATAACAAAGAGTGAAACTGCCAAGGATCCAAAAGAGGAGAGTGGAGAGAATCAGGGGCAGGCAATGGGTCCTGAGGCGCTCAGTGGAACTTGTGCCTTTAACCTGCCCTGACCCACCCCATAGGAGCCCCTTTGGGCCAGAGCAGCAGAAGCTACTGGTGAGTAACCATTGGATGTCTTCTCTATGAAGGCAGAGCCCCTGAGACTGGGGCACTTCTCAGGTCTCCTGAGTTGACTCCTCAGCTTGACAATCCAACTCCTCACCAAGACAGGGCAACCTAGACTGGGATCCACTCATAGATGATAAATCCTTCACGAACAAGCTCTGGAGCAAAGATATGGATACTAGGCATTCTACTTGACAATTTCAAGTCAAGACAAAGGGGGAGGGGGAAGATTAAGGACAATGACAAAGTAGTTTTCCAAAGAAGTACTCACCACTTTATCAAATGGATTCTCTTATTTCCCTGGAATACCACAAAGCCTGCAGCTGTGAATCCTAAAAATGTTGTTGTACCTGTTGAATCCTGAAAAAATAGAAACAAAAATCTATTTGGATTAGGAAAACATAAAGTCAGTGATAAATGGTATGCCTCTCCATCCTCATCCTGGGTTAATTTCAGGTTAATTCCAATGATTTCTGGCAAGAAACTAAGTTTCTGAGCTGGGTGATCTAAGGGCAGGATTTGCAAAGTCTGAGTGGGGTCTAGCTTTTCTCTTTGAGCAACGCACCTTCTGTCCCTCCAGGGGCCTCCTGGGAAAATAAAGATTAGTCCCAAATCTCCAGGTCTAATTCCAAGCATCTTCTGGGGCTGCTGGGTTCTCAGATCTGTCTCGTAACATGGGCAAACTCTCCTGGTTGCCATCAGCACTCTAACGTCATAAATCATACCCTGAGTTTCTATTCTAATGTGATTCAGCCGCACACACGATTTCTGGCAATTTCAGTATAAAAATATGTCCAGAAAAGCCTACTTTGTTTCCAACCTATTTCAGGAACACTCAGCATCTCACAGATAAATTAAGTGAAGACAAAGGAACCAAGAAAAAAAAAATGAGGTCACTCTCTAAGTAATAAATAAAATCAACAGAGAGGGTCACATTGGTGGATAAAAATCTAATTCACTAAATGGAATAATCTGGTTTATACTATTACTAGGAAGGGGCAGCTGGCAAACACTCTAACCGCTGGGCAGACAAGAGGATGCAAATGCCCATGTGGACGAGTATGACTGGCTCCCTGCCTTCGCAACACTTTGGAATTATCTGGGAGCTTTTAAAGAAACCAACACCTGGTCTCCACCCCCTAGAGATTCTGATGTAATTGGAGTAGGGTGGTTTCTGGGCACCAGGAGTTTGTGAAGCTCCCCATGTGATCCTAGTAAGCAGCCTGAGTTGAGAGTTATAGGACTAGTACTTTCCTAAATACTTTTAGTTGATCTCATCTGGGTAATGAAATGTTCCAGTATAACTCAAAAACTTATTTTTAAGAGCCTGGCTGGTATTGATGCTTAGTTTAGGACTAAGGTTGGTGTCTGGATGATACATGATTAGTCTAGGATATGAACAGGTGAACACTGCTCATAAGACATTTTTGAAAAATGTGTGCTTAAGCATCATCTTAGGGTCTTGTTACAAAGGCAGCTTCACTGGCTGCATCCCCAGCAATTCTGGTTCATTAGCTCCTGGGGGAGGGGCCAGGTGATTCTGATGCAGGTGGTCTGTGTTTCACGCTTGGGAGAAATATTGACTGTCAAATAATATGAATAAAGGAAAAAAGAAAAAAACTAATACTCACTATGCCAAAATACAATTTTAAATCTTTCTTTCTTTTTTTTCTTCCACTTTCTCATTTTTCATGACTGCGTCCTGATGGCAACGGCCTTGACGGTAAGTCTGTTAGGACCATGTGAATTCTCGGGGGTAAAACCACCTACTTGATGAACAAATCCTTGGCTGTTAATTAGGAAAATGTGGCTTCTACATAGCAATTAGCAACCAATTAGAATACGTCAATGGAGAGAGTTAACTGGCAAAATGTGTGCGTGAAACCCATTGTTGTTCTTTCCAATGAGGCCCTGTGGTCAGTCTATGGAATGGTCTAGGCGAGGTCTTCCAGACCTGCACACCAATTAATTCTCTTTCGGGCAAGGCAATCATTACATGGTGATCTGTATAAGGGCCAGTTACCTTGCATGGGTGGGGATCCACTCCATAGGTTTCCAAAGTGTGAGCTTTCAGGAGCAAATTAAATTCAGCAACCGGTGGGCTCTGGCCTCTAAAATCACACAAGAAAAGTTTAGGGAGTTAATAAGGAAAATAACAAAAAGATGGAGCCCCTTCATTCAATAAAGAATAATACTCTAAACTCAAGAAAGAGGAAAAATCCTACAAAAAGCGTTATCAGTAAGGCCAATCATTATTTCTCACCACGAGAAGCCCTCTGCTAAGGAATCTGAGCCCATGTTCCCTAGCTAATTGTTCCATAATAAATCCACATGTCCTCTGAGTATGCCACTGACCCGTACAGTTAATCAAGGCTATCAAGTTACTAATAAGTAGGCCCTTGCAAATTCAATCTTAATATGAAATAAAACCCAGCATCTGTTCTTTCCTACTCATTTAAAAAGATTATCCAAGGTGAATGGCATTCCTTCTTGCTCAGGGTAGAAAGTGAGCAATCATGTTGCCCCGTCAACAAGCCTTAAACACAGCCACCTGGGTAAGAAGGATCATCAACCATTCCATTGGAAAGTCCTGGATTTTGAAAGGAAATCTCAACCACTAGTTGCAGCACTGACCTCCAGGGTAGTAAACAAGGTCTTGGCCTCAGAATCAAAACAAAAAGGCTGCAAATACAGATGGGTCTGAAGCCCTTTCTGGGCTAGCTTCTAAACCAGGAATGTGAAACAATTCAAAGACCCCATTTTGATGACTTACATTAATGTCCCATGTGAAAGCTGGACAATGAATAAGGAAGACCAAAGAAGAATTGACGCCTTTGAATTATGGTGTTGGTGAAGAATATTGACTATACCACAGACTGCCAGAAGAACGAACAAATCTGTCTTGGAAGAAGTACAGCAAGAATGCTCCTTAGAAGCGAGGATGGCAAGACTTCGTCTCACATACTGTGGACATGTTATCAGGAGGGACCAGTCCCTGGAGAAGGACATCATGCTTGATAAAGCAGAGGGTCAGCAAAAAAGAGGAAGACCCTCAATGAGATGGACTGACACAGTGGCTGCAACAATGGGCTCAAACATAACAATTGTGAGGATGGCGCAGGACCGGGCAGCGTTTCGTTCTGTTGTACGCAGGGTCACTATGAGTTGGCACCAACTCGATGGCACCTAGCAACAACATTAATATCACATATGTATCTTACAGAAGCTGAACCATTCGCCAAGGATAATCACGTGACCTTTGCATCTCCCTTAACAACCAAGAAGAGTTTACTAAGGAAAAAATAGGAATTCATTTTTATTTTCAAAATGTACAATTACATTATATTACATCAATCCACACTCCTCCTCTGAGATAGGCTGTTTCCCCCCAACTTGGAATCAGACCATTATGATCCACAGGGTTTTCACTGGCTGACTTTTGGAGGTAGATGGCCAGGCATTTCTTCCTAGTCCATCTTAGTCTGGAAGTTCTGCTGAAACCTTTTCAGCATCATAGTAACACACAAGCCTCCACTGACGGGTGGGGGCTGTGCATGAAGTGCATTGGCCTGGAATCGAATCCAGATCTCCAGCATGGAAGGGGAGAATTCTACCACTGAACCACCACTGCCCTCTTCTTTATTAGTGTTCTGAAATTTCCCTCTGATATGTCTAGAGGGCACCTTTATTTATTTATCCTGATCAGCACTGGGTGGGTCCTTTCAATCCAACAACTCCAATCTTTCTCCCACCATTTCTTTTGATTCTTTTCCCTTCCCCATCTCCTCCCCACCTCCAACCATTCTCTCTGCTCTTTCCTTTGAGAAGTTCTAGTAAACGGGTCTATCCTTCATGTCGTTTAACCTTTGTTTCATACTTTGTATCTCTTTTTGTACTACATTCTGAATTATTTCTTAATTCAAACTTTCAGCTTGCTAATTTATTCAGCTGTGTGCATTCTGCTTTTCATCTCATTTATTGAGCTTTTTAAAAGTATCAATTAAAGATTTCATTTCCAACTTATCTCTGTGGTTCCTAAAACAACAGCCTGTTCTTATCTTATGGACATAAATTCCTATTATCCTTCTGAAGATACCCACAAAAAAACCAGCCAACCAACCAAACCCATTGCTGTCGATTCCAACTTACGGTGACCCCACGTGTTACAGAGTAGAACTGTGCTCCATAGTGTTATGGAAGCAGATTGCCAGGCCATTTTGCCACAGTGCTGTTGGGTGGGTTCAAATCGCTAACCTTTAGGTTAATAGTTGAACGCAAACTGCTTCCACCACCCACGGAACTTCCATTTCTTTTAAACTTCAGTCCTGTTTGTTCCATTAATGCTGCTTCCCAGATGGTCTCTTAGTTTGCTGAGTCAGTCTCTCCTTCAGTGAGTTGATGTTTCCTTAAGTGTTTAGTGATTCTTGGTTGTGCACTCATCTTTGTATTTGGTGTATCTACTTCATGTTGCAGCCTCCTGAGGTCGCAGGGAAGAATGGGATGTGCCATGTGGGAAGGATTTGTGTCAGTAACGTGATTTTGGGGTTAAAGGCTCAAATTTCTCTGGATGTTGCCCAGGCAGAGCACCTCCAGCCCAAGCACTCACACTTACTGCTCCTCTCCTCCTACCTGGGAGCAAATACTACCGCTGCCCATGACTTAGCACAAGCAAACCAGAAGGAAGGAGCCAAAGCTGCTCAGCTGCTCCACATGCAGTTGCCCACTCACCTCATGGTTGCCCTGAAGCCCCCTAGGTCTGTGTTTGCAATTAGAGATAAGATAGCCATTAAATTTAGGAAGTATAGGGCAGTGGCCAGAAAGAGACCACCTAAACCCAAACCAAACCCATTGCCATTAAGTAGATTCCGACTCATAGCGACCCTACAGGATATAGTAGAACTGCCCCATAGTGTTTCCAAGGAGTGGCTGGTGGATTTGAACTGCTAACCTTTTGGTTAGCAGCTAGGCTCTTAACCACTATGCCACCAAATTATTCACTTTCCAACATGAACTTCCAAATTATAAACCTTTCACAATTAACTTGTTTCCAGACTGAATAGGAAAGGGTGTGCTTTAAAAGCAAACTTGAATTTTTAAAAATAAACAATGTGTGGCTTATGAAAAGGTGCTGACAGTTTAAGCAATAATAACAAGGTTTGCTCTCTAGAGCAGAGCAGCTCTCATTAGCGTGGGGCAGGTGCGGGCCATTCGCTCCTGTGAAGCAGGAGGATTATCCCGGAGTTGAGCTAATCGCCTGCAGCGTAGTAAGCACCAAGCTATCTTGGTGCGGGTCCTGGTTCAATATGCCCTAGTCATTAGGCTGAGGTTTTGTACTGAGGGCCACCCAAGTACAACTATTTCTAGGGTCGCTGTTGGTAAGATGCTGCATAGCACAGATTTGACTGCTATGCCCCTAATTCTGGGTGTGGGCGGTGAGATGAAGGAGTGTGTGTGTATGTGTTTGAGAGAGACAGACAGAAAGAGAGACCCCAATACTTAGATTTAATAATTATTTTTATTTTCTGGTGACAGGTAAGATAATCACGTCAAGTGTCCACCAATGAATGGACAAATAAAATGTGGTATATACATACACTGGAATATTATTTAGTCATAAAAAGGAATGAAGTTCTGATACATGTAACACCATGGCTGAACCTTGAGGATGAACCTCATGATGCCAAGAGAAATAAATCAGACACAAAAGGACAAATATTACATGATCCCACTTATATGAAATATCCAGAATAGGCAAATGCATAGAGACCAAGGTTTATTAGTGTTACCAGAGGCAGCAGGGAGGGGAAAATGGGGAGATACTGCTTAAGGGGCACTGAGTTCCTGTTAAACTGGATGAAAAATTTGGAAATGGAGTGACAATCATTGTACAACATGGTGAACAGAATTAATGTCACTGAACTGTACACGTAAAAATGGTTGAAATGACAAATGTTTTGTTTTATATATTTCACCAACATAAAAATTTTTTTTTAAGAACTTATTGTATAGCTATGGAGAGAGAAATATCTGTATGTACTGAGAAAACTTCTGAAAACTCCCGTTCTTCATCACCATCTATATAGTTGGTGACCTTCTCGAGTCTATTGTTTCTTTACTGAAGGGGCAAATAATTATGATGACTTTGCCTTGATGTCAAGTCAAACCATCCTTCAAATGTTATGCTTTACTTCAGGGACAAATTTCAGAAATGAATTTTTGAAGAACTTTATTTTCCTAAAGCAGGTATTTGCAATAATTTCTAATTCAGAAGCAGAGTTTGGGGTTCATAAGTGTATTTTCAATTATTGCTTTAAATTATGTATGTATTTGTTGTTGCTAGCTGCCTCATGCACAATGGAAAGAAACACTGCCCAGTCCTATGCCATCTCCATAATCAGTTGTGGATCTGACTGTTGTGATCTATAGGGTTTTAACTGGCTGAGTTTTCAGAAGTAGATCACCAGGTCTTCCTTCCTAGTCCGTCTTAGTCTGCAAGCTCCACTGAAACTGTTCAGCCTAGTAACATGCAAGCCTCCACTGACAGGTGGGTGGTGGCTGTGGATGAGGTGCATTGGCCGGGAATCAAACCTGGGTCTCCCGCATGGAAGGTGAGAATTCTACCACTGAGCCACCACTTTATATGTAGTACACATATATATATATTATTTACCTATATATACTCTTTTTAAGCATGATATGGTTTATAATAACTAAAAAAGAAACAATCCTTCTTTTTTAATAAAAGAATTATTGGATAAAATATTATACAGCCCAAAAGCACTGCTGAACTAAACAGTATCTGTCAGGAATGTAATAGATGGGCATGCAGAAGTATCTTTTACTGAACTATAGTGTGCCAAGCAATATATGTATTTAATATTCATAAAGTAGAAATTCTTATCCTCACTTTATAGCTGAGGATTCCAACACTCAAAGGGAAAAGTAACTTGCTCAAGGTTACATAGCTAGCTAGTAAGTGGAGGAGCCTGTGTAAATCCAAGTCTGTCTGGTTCCAGCACGCTTTTTAGTGCCTGCACCACCATCACTACCAATACTCTGCGGAAGATCCCTCTACTGACTCTCCCAGGTGCCATGTTTGAAACATTTAAAA